TGCGGGTAACTCTTCTGAACAGAGTATTTTGTTCGATGCGAATTTTTATCGTGGTACTTGCGTGGGGCGTGGCAAAAAAAACGTAAAATGAAAGTTATGTTCGATTTTTTTTTAATCATATAGTCTGGGCTTTCAACGAGTCGTTTTAAACACTTCAAGTCAGGTATGGGAACTTTATCTGAGTTTCATTTCATTATTGTTTCGACTTTTTAAAAATTCCGTCACTTTCTTAGAAAATCAGAGCAATAATGAAATTTTTAATATCTGTTTCGAATTTTTTAGATAAGGTAGTTTAGGGTGTTTTTTTGCTCATAAGTCGTTCCAAGTTGAAATGAGGCATGATGTTTGGTGTAATTGATACGTTACTAGACGCTAAGAACATCACTTTGAACTTAACATTGCGTGTGGGGGTAGTTTTTAAAAACAACTGAAAAAAAAATCATTATATATTTTTTAAAACTTTGAACTAGTGTTTTCAGAACCTATTTCAGAAATTGCAGCGCAGTTGGAAAATTCAGGGCTTAGCACTGATATGAGTTATTTTGTTTATGCTAGAAGCAAGTTTTCTGTTTAATTTCAGTTTGAATACAAAGAAGTGAAGCGGAGCTTCACACCACTTGCAAAGTAACCCTAAAAAGCATTGTAAGCTAACCGTCGTGAGATAAAAGTTAATAGATCGAAATAATTGTTTGCAAAAATGTAAACAAAGAAACTATGAAAACTTAAGCTTCAACTCGATTTTTTCTTAAAAAAATGATTTTTTTGATAAAGAACTAGCCAGAAAAAAACATGGTAAATGATGAATAAGCAAATATATGAAAATTTTACAAAGCGATAACTAAAGGAACAATTATTTCTTATTTGCTAAATTTTTTCCACAATTTGTTTCCCAATTTTATTGTTGTAATGACTTTTGTTGCTTAAGCTAATGTTTTTTTTGATGTTTTAGACAAACAAATCAGCATAAACGAAAACGTACAACCTAACCTGTCTTACTTTTAAATTGTCATATGAACGTTTTTTAGACCATTTTTTCCCAAAAGAGTTACGAAACTGAAAAATAACTATAAGAGGTGAGTCTGCATTTCGCAAACACAAGCCAAATATGACTAGAAGCAGCTTTTAAAAGGTAAAAAATTTATCAAGACATTAAACTGAAATAAAGAAGAGTTTTAAAAAAGTAAATGACCTCTACTTAAATCAAACCCCAGCACTCAGACTTCCAACAAGTAAAGTCGACTGCCCTACACAACTGTTACACTGACGCTTTTATAAACCACATACATGTCAAGAAAAATTTGGAGAATACATTCTTCGAAACATCCAAACACTATGCGGCTAAGTCACCAAATTAAGCGCTTTTTTACGAATTGGGATGAAGACAAATTGAACTTTGTGCACAGAGCCGAAGCTTTGCAAACATTTGAGAGAACACGACCAAAAAGCAGCTCTATCAAGTGAAATAAGAACAAGTAGAAATAAGCCTCGATATAGCAAAAAACTCGATTATGTGTAGGATTTGAATCTGCGACCTACTGCAATCAAAAAACTTTGAGTCTAACGCACTATCCACTCAGTCACGCAAGCTTAACAACCGACAAACACTAGGCACGAAAAAAGGAGCTACATATGCCAATACCTTGCCCATGCGATTCAGCAAAATGGCACCAAATACAAATAGACTCAATTTTTCATGTAATAATTTGAAACATATAAAACTGAAGGCATCCACACAAACTTTGCCTGTAACAAATTGCAAAGCTTAAAACCACATAATGTATAAGTTATGTATTTCAAAAAATTGCGAATTATATTGAGTTGAAAAATTTCTGAAATCCAGTTTTTTTAATTTGAATGTTGTTTGAAACAAATATTTTTTTTCGGCTCATTTGATGAATTAAAAATGCATCAACTGCGTTAATTTATTCCTATTCGAATGTCAAAGCACATGCTTTCAAAAAGCTTTGAAGTTGTCCCATTATTATTGGGGTGCCGCACCATAAAAAGGCTTCTCCAATATTTGCGACTTAGGTTGGAATAAAAACATGGCTCTTACTAACACACTCGCTACGCTATTTAAAAATGACACTACGCTCTCATGTGTAATGGTTTATGCATAAACGATGCTTCTGAAAATTCTCGCCAAATACATAGACCCAGTAAGCTCTGAATATTTTTTTAATTTTAATTTTGTCTAGTAAGAAAATTGTATTTTTTTATTCATTGATTGAAATTAAAAACATATCCAACACAAAAATTGATTGAAAAGTTTTGAACATTTTTATCTTTCAAACTTCGAAGAAAAACTTCTAGTTAAAACATCTTCAATTTCCAGAATAAATTAATGGTTGACCTTTATTATACAGTTAAGCCCAGTTTAAGGCATAGGGGTGAGAAAATTTTTTTTAGGAAAGATCAAAAAATAAGAAAGGGGCAAAATATAGCTCTTAAATAATAAAAAAGTGCGAAAAAAAAATTAAAAATAATAAATAGTGTGCTAGATGCCGGAGTCGAAAACTCAACCGCAGTATCCAAAATCGCACATCCTTGCATCTGCGCCTTGTCAGCTCAAGACTAAATGAACACTAATTATCAGTTTGTTGACGTTTATAAAATCTCTTTCAAAGGTAATTAGTTTTTTTTCAAAATGTTTTGAAAAGTCAAAAATGAGATTTTTACTGAGCCTAAGGCTGTTTCCCATCAGAAGTAGGAGAAAACACATTTGCAGTTGGAATTGAACATCTCTATTTGATTATACTACTCATTCAAATCTGAATTAAGTAAGGTAATCAAACAGAGATGTTCAGTCTCGCATGCAAAAGTGTTTCTCCGTTTTTTTTTTTTGATAAAAAACAGCCGTACGCTCATTCAAAGTCCCATTTTTTGACTCTTCGAAACATTTTGAGAAACTCCATAAGGCCCAAAATTGCCAGTCAGTTACTACTTGAGTCCCTAGTGGATTCCTTCCTCAAATTGAAAATATTTACTTATTCAAGGGATACAATTACCGCTTGCTTTGTTCTTTTCAACTTATAATTTTAGTGTAGTTTTGGTAATGTATTTTTCGAGAAAATACAAAAATTCCAAAAATGGCCAATATTTTAGAAGATGGATTTTTTCTAATTTCAATATTTCTTTGCAGCAAAAATAAGGGCGTATCAACTTTGCAGACAAAATTATTACGAAATACGGTCTTGATTTCAAAAATTACAAATATTTTATTCAAGTGCAAAACTACTTTTCTACTAAAACTTAGGGCGTAGCAACTTATCGAGAGAAACTCCAGCCATTTTTTTTTCGGTTTAACTTTTCATCTCAGATTTGGCAGGGTAGTTTTCGAAGAAAAATCAGAGTTTCCAAACGGTCAGAAACTCAAAAACTGTAAATTTTCCAAGGCGGTTATTTTTATCAGAAAAATTTGGCAACACCAGTTCTGCAAGGAAAACGCTCAAACTTGTTTTTAATAATTAAATACAAAGCTTCAAATTTGGCAGCGTTGAAATTTACGCGCAATTGAAATGAATGGGTTCGGCTTAATAAACGACTACGGGATTAGTCAAACTTTCCATTAGTACCATTTTGTTGAAAATCGGCCAAGTGGTTCGCGAGAAAAATTACAAAATGCTCGAAAATTTAGTAAAGTGTCTCATCAGAAAAAAAGCCTCCATAAATTTCCGTTACACCTATTTTTTTTATCGAAACGGATTAGCCATCAATAAAACAGATACAAAAAAATAATGCTGTACAGCAAAAGTAATCCAGGTAAAAGAAAGTGCTTAGTTGCACCAACAAACGAACATTTTGTTTGCGACTTAGGAAGGTAAAATAGCTACTGGAATATGACACTACGCTCTGCTTGTTGTTCCGACTTTCGATACGAAAGTAACGGAATAATTGTGCTCCGGGTGGGTTTTTTTTTCTTCAGACAAATTTCGACTTTTTAACTAGCCATGTTTGACGGAGTTTTTTAAAAATCATTCAAAAGGAATTGTTGTCCTGAGCTTACTTTTGAAAAGATATTTTACCTGTGATCCTTTTTGGTAAAGTTATGCGGGTTTAAAGATTGCCATTTTGGGACAATTAACGCGCGACATATTTCGCGCTATTCACGCGTAAGCGGACAGTTAAACCGTCTTAAAATCGTTCCAGATTGGTTGAAAGAAGCCTATTTGCCATAATTGATGTGTTACTGTAAAAATTTATCGCTGTGTACTTTATATGCCCTGTGGGGGATGATTTTCACAAAATAATTCAATTTTTGCAATTTTTTTTTATTTGATTTTTTTTTACATTTAATTTTTTCATGTTATTACTGTTTCATAGACCTTAAAAAGCAGTCGGAACATTCAGGGCTTCGCCCTGATACGAGCAGTCTTGTTCATTTTATCTTACTTTTAGCAGACGATTGTGACTTTAACTCAAAAGGTGCTTTCATAACTAATTGCAGGCATATGCATTAATAGGCAGGATGTTAGTTATTGGATCACTTTATGATTTGTTCCCTAAAGAAAAACAAACACAATCTTATAAAACCTATATAAAAGAAAACCAATTGAAATATAAGTGAGCAAACTCACAAACTTTTCCTGAAATAACAAAAAAATCAACACGGCCTATCTATGAGTATAAAAAAGATAAATACATTGATCCGAAACTAGTCAATCGGTACAGCTGCAAAAACTTCCAAATATTCAGCGAAAATTTCCAATGATGTTCGAAATACTTACATCAATTGCGCTTTTGTGATGGTTTGCTGAAACAAACCATCACAAACCAAACTATAACTCAGGACCAGGGGCGGATTTTCTCGAGGGTTTTCTGAAAAAGTATCAAAGGGGGGACCCTTTGGGTCGGCAGGGGGTCGAATCCCTGAGGGGAGGGGGGAGGGGGCGTCCGCCCCCCCCCCCCTAAATCCGCCCCTGAAATGATCTCTTAAGGTTATTTATGGACAAAATTTCGTAGCCGAATGCAGCGCATTTACTCACGCAAGTTCGAAAAAATTCAATTAAAAGAATTCAATTCGACGAAATGATATTGAATTTATATACAATTTTCACGACTTGGTACAGATATTCACAGTAAAATTACAAAAAAAAACAACTCTGATATTTACAATCCAAATTTTTTGCGTTATTAAAAAGATATTTACAAAGAGCCATGACGAAGTTTATTTCCGATTTCATCTTCTTGGTTTTTGTACAAGAGCCATTATTCATCTACAAGCTTCTAAATCAGGAATCTCTCATCTACTAGTGTCTTCTTGGCCAGATTTCGCTGTCCCAAAATTTCTCTAATCGGCACCATGATCTGAACAAAGAATTCAACAATTGAGATCAAAAACAAATTAGCTTCTACCAATCGATTCATTAAACAATGGGACCAAGTGAACAATCTTTTCACTGAATCAAATTAGAGAATCAGATTTGAGCATAGTATATAGTACACGAAGGCATTACTGCTTGAATTTGTCATTTACTTTTAGGGAGATTGTTTAAATAGGCCAAAAAAATAAAATTGAACCATAATAGAACACGAAGGAAGCTTAGTAATAAGAACAGTCGCGTTTTGTGAGACTAGCACAGAAAATTCCGTTCAGTCATCTTGGCAAAAAGAAACGAAAAAAATTTTTATACAGGGGACGTGGTACAAAATTCCTGAGCTAATTATTCAGTATATTATCAAACAAATTGTCTCTACTGGGGTATTCGCTCTATATCGATCCGCATTTTTCTCGACATCGAAATAATAATTACACAGAGGTAAAGATGCACTTCGCATACACAAGTAAAAAATATGACCGATAACACAACTGGGAAAAAATGTTTGAGTAAAAGTTTGTACATAATTTCTTACGTTTGTACTAAAAACATAATTTCTTACGTCGGTACGCCAATTATGAGTCTACATAATTTCTAAGTGACGCCAGCCAATTATGACGCATTAGCAGTAATAGTCAATTTGAAAAAAAAACCAACTAACATGCCTCAATTTATAGAGCGGACGCATTTTAACTAGTAGTAGAAAAAGTTCATTAAAAATATCCGACGCTGCCCCGGCTCGAACACTCTTTTAATTTGTTACGGGTCTCCTTCCCTACCTCTATGCTACAGATCCAAGATACCTTGAAGCTAAAGTGCTAGTTGTAATATAATAGTCTGTGTTAATATCCTTAGCATTGGCTGCGCTTAATAGCTGGGTATTACACAAGCTAAGCTCGTGTGATAGTACGAACTCCCTTTTTTCCACTAAGTCGGAAATTTTAAAAGTGTTCTTTGACTGCAGAATGTGCATTAGATCAACACAAAGGCGAATTTGCACTTCGCATACACAAGCAAAAATGATTTTAAAATTTTACTCATTCAGTTTTCCCAGTTGCGTTATCGGTCAAACTTTTGTTTGTGTATGCGAAGTGCAAATTCGCCTGTGTTGATTTTATGCACATACTGCAATAAAGGAACACTTTCAAAATGAACACTAAAATTTGCTTATGTTAGAAAAAAAAAGAGTTCATACTATCACCCAAGCTTTGCTTGTGTAATTATAATTTTTTTCTCAGCTCGAAACACGAATGCAAATGATTTATTATTATCCAAAACTCCACCTTGAAGAAAGTTTCGTTATGGCACCTGATTTTGCGTCAAAAAGAAAACAGCCGAACACTAAATTCCTTGTCAAAATTAAGTCAAACAAATCTCTGCAGTTCGTCGTCTTTTTATAGAATATTTTGATAGTCTCTCAAATTTCCGGTACAAAACACACAATACTAATAACATGTTCCTAACCCAGAAACTTATTAGAACATTATAGTCCCACCAAAATTTATAATTAGAGGCAATTTATATTTTCTACAACTTTTGCTATAATTGGAAAGATCGATTGTTCCCAGTGCATCATTACTATGAATGATTCAAAGTTAACTTCGAAAAACAATTATTCATTTTTATTGGTACCTTCTGGACGATGTAGACTCCGATGGCTGAGAGGAGGTAGCTGCCGATCATGTAGTCCAGTGCTACGAACAGATACACGTCAAACACGAACAGGGAGAACTCGTTCCCATAGAAAAGAACCTTGTCGAACACGTGACCCGCGTCTACAAACACACAAAACAAACTTATCAAAAACTGCCACAATCCACAAATAAATTTTTGAAACATAGCGTAACATACCGTTCAGAATTCAGTAACAAACTGGGCACAGAGGCGAAGCTGCACTTCGCAAACACTTGCAAGAACACGACCAAAAAGCAGCTATATCAAGTGAAATAAGCCTCGAATTCGCCAAAACGGCTACATGTCGGATTCGAATCTGCGACCTGGCAAATTTGAGTCTCACGCACTAAACACTAAGCCACGGATGATTTAAGTCCCCAAAAACTAGCCACCAATAACGCAGCTACATATGCTGATAAATTGCAAAGTCGATGCAGCAAAAGTAGCACCAAACACAAAAGGACACAATTTTGCATTTAAAAAATTGTAAAGCATAAAGCCATTATGCATTAAAAAAATTGCGAGATACATTGAGTTGGAAAATTTCTGCTGAAATCGAGCTTTTTATCATTGTACTGCTGTTTGAAACAAATTAATTTTTTCGGTTCCTTCGATGAATCAAAAATGCATAAGCTGTGTTAACTTTTTTCCTAATCCAATGTCAAAGCACATATGATATTATACTGCTACTGCAGCCTACCGATTCAAAATGGCCACCAAAAGTAGCGATTTTATTTGCGACTTAGGTTGAAAAAGAAAGTTCGAATTAAAAAAACTTTGCTTCGCAAGTGTAAACACACAGAAGAGAAGTTGCACTTCGCATACACAAGCAAAAATATGACCAATAACGCTACTGGAAAAAACTGAATTAGTAAAAGTTTGGGTATACGTAATTTCTTACGTGACGCACGCCAATTATGCCGCATTAGCAGTACCAGTAAATGTTTATCAAAAGAAATTACCAACTAACATGCCTCAATTTACAGAGCGGATGCATTTTAACTAGTAAACGAAAAAGTTCATTTGAAACATTCTACCCTGCCCAGGTTCGAACCCTCGTACTTTGTTGAGGGTCTCTTTCCCTACCTCTTCGCTACATATACATGATACCTTGAAGCTAAAGTTCTATTTGTAAAATAATAGTCTGTGTTAATATCCTTAGCATTGGCTGTACTTAATAGCTGGTTATTGATAAAATGAACACTTTCAGAATGAACACTAATATTTGCGACTTAGGTTGGAAAAAAAGATAGTTCATACTGTCACACAAGCTTTGCTTGTGTGATGATGAAAAAATCAAATTCAAGAAAACCCTTACTCACAGAAAAGCAAAAACAGAACTTACAAACTTTTATTTATTACTATTCAATGAAGTTCCAACGGTGGCAACCTATGGAAAAAAATTCATGGAAAGATTGCAAATTTTTTAGTTGAAACTCCGTGACATCATGATTCTATTTTTCAAAAGCTAATGATTTATATTCTAGTTTTTACTGTATTTGACAATCATAAAGAAACAGCAAGACTTACACTTGTACATTCGCAAAGATACTTTCAAATTGCGAAAAGTTTCTCTTTTTTTGATAATGAACTCAAGTAAACAGAAAAAAAAACTGACTTAAATTTTTGAAAAAAATCTCACCTAGAAATTTTCAACACAAAGGCGATGCTGCGATTCGGAAACACATGCGAGAACACGACCAAAAATTAGCTCTTGCGAGAACACGACCATGCGAGAACACGACCAAAAAATTAACACGACCAAAAAACACGACTCACGCGAGAACACGACCAAAAATTATGCGAGAACTCGACCAGAAAACCAAAAATCATGCGAGAACACGACCAGAAAACACGACTCATGCGAGAACACGACTCATGCGAGAACACGACTCATGCGAGAACACGACCAAAAATTAACACGACCAAAAAAATTAGAACACGACCAAAAATTAGTGAAAAAAGAAACAGAATTAAGCCTCGGAGTAGCAAAAAAACTCGACTACGTGTCGGGTTCGAATCTGCGACCTAGCGCATCCAAACAAACTTTGCATCAAACAAATCGCAAAGCATAAAACCACATTATGTATAAATTAGGCATACCAAAAAAATTCCGCGCAAATTGAGTAAAAAAAATTGTGTAATCAAAATTTTTTATGATTGTTATGTTGTTTGAAAAAATATGGCTTTTTTGGGATCATTTTATGAATTAAAAATAAATCAATTGTGATAACTTATTACTATTCGAATGCCAAAGCACATGCTATCAAAAAGCTGTTAAGATTACCGAAAAGTGGCACCAATATTTGCGATTTAAGTTGGAAAGAAAGAAAGTTCGTACTAATAGACTTTGCTTAGCAAGTGTAACGAAAAAAATACATGTTCTTAAAGCTCTTTGAAGTTCTTGATCAGTTATGGTTGCCACTTTCTTGAAAAAATTAAACCAACTTGAGAAAACTGGATCAAAGTTAAAGTTCTTGTTTCGCTGGAAATCTGATAATTAAATTCCAATTTCAAGCCGCAAAAAAGCAAGACTGAAAAAAAAAACGAAAACAAACAAATTATGGCCAAATAACAGTCGGAAAGAAGTAATGAACGCAAGGAAACTGAAACAAAACAGACTTGTTTTTTTTTCAAGAGCCTTCAACTTTTGAATTTCTACCTCTTTGAATATGTAGAAAAATTTATGATGGACAATTTTTGATAAAATTAACCCAAATTGAAAAAAAAAACTGGATGAATACGTTAAGCTGAGAAATCTGATAATTAATTTACATTTTCGAAATCAGAAGTCGATCACGTTTTTCGTGACCTTTATACTTCTGCTGTTCGATAGTGGAGTTTACCTTCCTTTTAACAATGGAAATGCACTGAACTACGTTCATTGACTTTTAATTACTGCCATATAAAACATCATTATCACTGATAACTATCAAAATAGTAAGCAATCCCGTTACTTTTCTTTTCTTTTGTATTAAAATTATATTGGGCCAATAAAATGGAAATTGATAATAGAAAAAGAACAAGTTATTGAACTGGTTAGACAATCAAGCAAGGCATTGAAGTGATTGCCATATCCTAATACTCGTCAGTAATTTGCCGAATTGGACAGCAGAATGTCTGAACACAGTCTGTAAAATAGACTCACCACTATAGAATATTCCCCTGGTGGGGGAATTCTCCACAAACTCCATGTCCAGCAGCTTCTCCAGAAACGGCCTTTCCCTCACCTCGTAATCACAGTCAGGAATGTCCTAAACAGCAACCTTTTCAGGGGAAACAAACGGAGCTCGACTTTTCCTTGTAACATTTTGAATTCCCAAATCCCTGAGGGCAACTAAAATTGATAAAGTTCTCAAAGAGGCCAAAAAAGAAATAGAGCTCCCGCTGTTGATATTGTTGCAGCAAGCTCGATAACCATATAAGCTACTTTTTTACAACTTTACTTTTAGCATCACGACGTCTTTGAAGTCGTTGCCAATACCAGGGGCGGATTTAAGGGGGGGGGAGGGGCGCACCTCTCTCCCCCTCAGGGATTCGACCCCATGCCGGCCCAAAGGGTCCCCCCTTTGAACTATTTTTGAGATATCCATTTTTGGCTGACGGACCAAAAATGGCTGACGGACCTAAGGGGAAGCGCGCGCCGAAAAGACGCGATTCTGGTTTAAAAAAATCCAAAAGTGCCTAAAAACGCCTTTTTGGCCTATCTTTTTTTCAATCCAAAACCAATACATTGTTTTTCAATCCGAAACCAACCAACCCTGTTGATGAATGCAGCCAAGAAAGCATTGAGCTGGTTGTATCCCTCAATGCACTTTCTCAGTTGGGGGTTCAGCTGACTAAGCGAGTTCCTGTCCACCCCAGCTCCCGTTTGATCCCCACTGGTTGCAGTAGTGGCTGCCTTGGCCGCATTCGATGGCATGGGGGGTTTGTAAAGTTTCCTGTATGCAGTGCGCAGATTCAGAGGTACTATCATCTCGAATGTCTGGATAGAAGAGTCGGGAAGAAGACCTCGTGTGCCTCTCAGGTCATCCTAAAGGAGACAACAAAATAAATGTTTCCAGTTTCAGAGCAAATTCTATGACCAAGCACCTCACAAATCACGAAATATGAAGCAAATTACATAGGCATAGATAAGTTTAGCCGAGAAAGTATAAAAATGATTTTATTGACTGCTTCCTTGTCCAGCTTGCCCTGGTACTTTCCTACATTTCACTGATACATTGGTTGAAAGAATTGAGCATTGCCAACAGACAGTTGGAAAAGAGTAATGAATGTAATGAAACAGAAAAAACTGACTTTCGAATTATTTCGATTAAAAAAAAAATAGATGGCCTTATAACTCTTTAATTTCTAGAACAATTTATAATTGATAATTTTTTCAAAAAATTAACCCAATTTGAGAAAACTGGATCAATACGTAAAATTTTTCTTTTGCTGTGAAACCTGATAATTAAATTTTATTTTCGAAACTAAAAGTCGATCAAGTTTTTCTTGACCTTAACACGTTTGCTGCCGACCTTCAAAAGAAATCAAAAATCAAACCGCGAAAAATCAAAATTAAGTGTGAACAATATTTAGATTATTTCCTAGAAAAAAATTAACCAAAAAAATCACCAAGACCTATACAAGGGTCTTCACTACGTTCATTACTCTTAAAAATTAAAAGACAACTGGTCCTAATCTTTCGGGCGTTAAAAGTTACCTGTTCTTTCTGCATGAGGAGAGACAGCTGAGCTAGATTTGCGTCTGCAAATCCGTGGACAGATCTGCCGTGGATGTAGTATCCGTACTGTTTCTGACTCATGATGAAGCAGCTGATGTTGCTGATGGAGCAGAGATCAACGAATTGGTTGAAGGGGTCCTCGATGAAGCGAGAGTAGAACAGGATCTCCACTAGGTACTAACAACGAAAAAGAAAACATCCACGACCGTATTTGAAACATTCCAACCATTTTCCATTCGTAATCATTTTAAAATTTAATTAACGTTTAATTTTGGCAAACCAAGCAAACTTGAAAACTAGTGAAAATAGTTGCTGTATCAGTAAATGACTATTGGAGAAGATTTTATGAAAAAAAAACTAGAATTTCAGTGAAAGAATTATTCTCATTGACTTGTAGTATTTATAAAACAAACCCCTTTCGATAGACCATGTTATCCATACGGATATCATAGTAAAACATTCCCATACAAACAATGTACAATCAGGTGCTAAAACTACCAGTTGGTAATGTTTACATATTATAAACCTAAATGATTACATAATACATATAGAAGTCTGAGGATTAAATAAGTATCTATCTATACCTAACAACATATGTAATAGTTATTATGAAACGCTGTATCTCAAATGCTTCGAGGTCAGCGTCATCCAGACTTAAACATAGACCGATGAATTTAAGTTACCATCGTAGTCTTTTCTATTTCTCATTTCATAGTCAGCGATTAGCATAGACTTGACAACTTAATTATACCTCACCTAACGGCTGAGGGTATAACATGGCGCAGCCAGCAGTCACAAAAAATCTATTGGGGATTACACCATTTTGGCAAAAAGCGTCCGCGGAACCACCAATAGAGTGGGACAAATGGAACCAGCAACTGTTTCTTGGCATCATCGCCAAAGATGGAATGAATTTGAACAAGCTTCTACATAACCCCCCAGCTGTTCGAAAACCCCAGGAACCAGGATACGAGCTCCCCATAGACGGAGAAACAGACAAACAAATACGCGATCGAAACCTTCGAAACCAAGAGAAACGTGTAACATGGGAGAACCAATGCCAACACTTGGATAATCTTGGCCCCACAGTCGACGGCATACCATGGGAGGAAGCCGATATCAAATGCAGAAGTTACATATACTTGTGTTTGGGGACGGAGGGCCAAAGACGAGTAACACAATATTATCCAAATCTCAGAATTCAAGATACCTCAACCAGAGAGTTTTGGAAACTCCTTAAGCAACTATTTGTTAAAGAACGCAACGTAACCTTCGATCGTTACGAAGCGTTCACACGCAAACAGGGAAAAACGGAATCTCTGGAAGAATTCCACTGCGGACTTACGGAACTGGTGGTAAAAGGAAACTTTAAATGCACGGCATGCAACGATGTTAGTCTCGAATCCGAGACCGTCAGAGACCTATTTATAGCACACATGTCAAACGACGAAGTTCAAAAAGACCTTCTGGCCGAAACAAAAACTCCCGAACAAGCTTTGGACTACGCAATAAAACGCGAAAGAGGCCTCGAGAACCAGCTCTATATTAGAAAACAGGGAACGACAAATAATCATCCCGGAATGCCAAATATTAAATCTGAACCGGTAAATTTCGTTCAAAAGCGGGGCGGATTTAAAGCGCATCAGCGAGGTGGACGCAGTAGAGGAGGACAAACGTCCAGAAACTATCCTGAGAAAACTGGACAAAAGAAAGACTGTTTCAAATGCGGAAATGCATTTTCAGGAAATCACTTAGCACAATGTCCGGCACGTGACAAAATCTGCAACAAGTGCACTAAAAGGGGCCATTTCGCTAGACTTTGCAAATCAAGTGAGGTTAATGCAATCCAGGAAGACAACCAAGAACAACAAGAACTTCAAGATACTGATATGACAGCATACGTCAATTACCTACAAGCGGGTGACGTCATACCAGGGTGGGAGTTAATCCATCCGGACGATACATCGACAAACTGGATAAATTTTGAACCAAGACGGGCAGAAGAACTATTGGACACAGATCTCAAAGGACACCTGATAAGGGTCCGCTCGGAGAAAAACAACATCGTTTTTATTGCCGACACAGGATCACCAACATCGTTCGTAAACGAAAAAACAGCCAACCTTCTGGCCACAACAGTAAAATCAGCAGTAAGAACAAGAATGCGAGAGGATGACGAAGCTAATAGAATGGTATGCTACAATGGCTACAAAATCCCATCTCTTGGCAGACTAACCGCCCCAATCGAATCAGGAGGTTGGACAATCCACACAGCGTCCTTCATTGTGGTGGACGACAGGCGGGCGAACATTTTGGGGCGGAATCTTCTCCCGCAAATTGGCATCCAGCTACACCAAGAAAGAAAACCAGCTGGTAAGTCAGTATGTCAAGTTAATAGTATTGAAAATTCAGACACACAAATTGCAACGTGGGTCAGAAGTACGTACCCGGGATTGTGTACACGAATTGGACGTTCAAAAAACCATATGGTCCATACACAATTTTTATCGGATTTCAAAGCCTTACAACAACGGGGGCGTCGAATTCCTATTCATATACAAGAAAAGGTGGAACACGAAATTAGATCATTAATCGATCAAGGTCACATCACTCGACTTGAAAAATGTAACGACAACCAATTCATAAGCCCTATCGTCATTACTGTTAAAAAGGATGGATCCATTAAATTAGCCATGGACTCAAAACAAATAAACAAATCGATCCACAAAAATAAGTACCAGATGCCAAATATTGACGTTCTGTTAGACAATATAGCACAATCGGCACAAGAGGGTACAAATAAGCCAGGAACGACGTATTTCTCAACAATAGATCTACGATACGCGTACAGTCAACTACCACTAGACGAAACAACCCGTACGCAGTGTAACTTCAGCATAATTGGAGGAAAAGCAACGGGAACATATCAGTTCCAAACCGGTTTCTACGGGCTTACTGATATGCCCGCAGAATTTCAGAAAGCCATTGATCTGACACTCAACAACGAGAAGGACACTTTCGCGTTCCTAGATGATATTTTAATAATATCCCATGGCACGAAAGAGAAGCACATTGAAAAATTAACAAAAGTTCTGAACAAACTAGATACGGAAAACATGGCTATTTCAATCGATAAGTGTAAATTTGGTTGTAGGGAAGTAGAATGGTTGGGATTTACCATAAACGAACACGGCACCATACCTATCCATAAGAAAACGGACGCAATTATAAACCTACCTCATCCAAAAACATTCAAACAATTGAAAAGTTTCATGGGTTCAGTTCATCACCTCAACAAATTCATCCCAAACTTAGCTCAGCTATGCAATCCCCTTCGACCACTGCTATCAACAGCAAATAAATTTAATTTCCAGTGGAATGAAGAAAACGGGAAAGCTTTCAAAAATGTCTTAAATGCCGTAAAGAACATAACAGAAAACAGACATTTTGTAACGGACCGAGACACCCGAATTGTCTGTGACGCCAGCCGCGAAGGTATAGGCGCGGCCCTGGAACAAAACACACCGGATGGTTGGGCCACAATTGCGTATGCATCACGATTCCTAAATTCATGCGAACAAAAATACTCGGTAAACTAACTCGAACTTCTAGCCGCAGTATGGGCCATTGAGCACTTCAAGTACTACCTATACGGCAGACGTTTTACTTTAATAACGGACCATCAAGCATTAGTTGGTGCATTAAAAAGTAATAGGGGCAATAAAACCTATCAAAGTAGGTTAACCAGATGGATTGATCGACTCATTCCATTCGATTTTGACATACACCACCTAGCTGGTAGTAAAATGGGTCTCATTGACTACATCTCACGACATCCGGTCGGAAAACCTCAACCCCCCGCGTACTGGGATGAAAATTTCGTAGTAGCACTAATTGATGACCTCGTAAAATGCGTAGAATTCCAAGATAGCAGTAGTATTAACGCCGCTTGGAATAACGTCAAAACGGCTAATTATCCAGGCACCAAAAAGCTCGACCGGAACGAGAACTTCGCACGTTCAAATTCGATTCAAACACAAACTGCATTCACTCTGCGTAGTCAATTGCTCAAATCAAGTCGATTTCAAATTAACTCAATTTCAAACAGTTCAAACTTAGAAAAACAAAACAACATGAGTAGACAATTACAACAAGGCATGACTTTACCACCCTTTCGCCGCATAACAAGGAAAGCACATACCGCAGCCCAAACCCAACTCACCTTCTCTCCCCTCAATTACGCATCGTTTAATGCACTTCTATCGAAACCCCCACCACCAGAACTTACATTCAGTGACGTGACACATCAGGTCATACCCTCTACAAACAGCTTCACATTCAACAGAATCGAATCCAAGAAAGCTGATGCCATTTGCCAGACACTGGAAAAAGATCAATCCCCTGACACAAACCATCAAACCCAAACCGACAACAACCAGTCATCAAAACAGGACACGGAAAGCCAAACTATTGCCAGCATAGAAGATGAAGACACCCCAATGTTCCGAAAGAATTTACGAAAGGTGATGGACGTAAGCTTCCTAGCAGCCGCTACCAAACGAGATAGAAATTTATCACCACTCTTAACAATGGTTAAGCAACAAAAGTGGGACTCGATCAAAAGCTGCTACGGCCCTTATTTTTACAATGTAAGGCATCGCCTATCAGTCAGGGACAACATTCTTCTCTACGACGACCGCGTCGTCATACCGAAACAACTGAGGCATACACTGATGGATGCTTTACACCTCACACATCCAGGACAAGGGGGAATGCTAGAAGCAGCGAAGCATGTGTGGTATCCGTTCCTTCACAGAGACATCGTCTCAACGGCACAAAACTGTAAAAGCTGTCGGGAAAAGGGTAAGAACTTTAAGGTTATCTCGGGTAAACAACACTTCACAACATTGGACGCGGTGGTAGAACCAAATGAGGAAATCCAATTAGATTTCGCAGGACCCTTACCGGACGAAAACGATAAGGATGTTTATATATTGGTGGGTGTCGATCGCTTCTCACGCTTTCCGTACGCAAAAGTTGTTACCAATAACAAAGCGGATACAATCATCCGTTTTATGCAAAATCACATAGTCAACCAAGGTGTACCCCGTGCTATCAGATGTGACCAAGCACAAGGTTTCAGAGCCAAAAAGTTCCTTATATATTGTAAATCTCACAATATAAAACTGATTTTCGCACCGGTGGACGACCATAGAGCGATAGGCATGGTCGAAAGGCTCATACGAACATTAAAATCACGACTAGCGATAATGAAAATTGACAAAACAAATCGTCCATATAAGTTAGCATCGGACGTAGCTGAATTAATAAAAACCCTCCGTATTACACCTAACTCTTCTACAAAAGTTACACCGTTTGAATCTCACTACGGTAGAAAAGCTAATACTCCCATAAGTAACCTCAGCACATCGCCTAAATTGTCAAACCTTTCGTGGGAAAATACTAAATTATCATGTTTAGACGAAAAAGTACTCGCAAAACCAGCGTTGTCGGCGGAATCAATGTGGAACAGGGATTTAAACAGCGAGGATGAACTAGACCTGAAATACAAAATGAAGCCCACACCCGAGCACCAATACGTGCCAGAACCAACATTCAACCCGGCCCCACCAGCACAAACTGTCGCGGATAAAAGTGCTACCGAAGCTAATCGACACACACAATCACACTCAGGAAAACGTAGAGCACAGAACCAGCCGGACGCAGACACACACACGGAGGCAGTAACATTAGACAGCAGCGATGAGGAATTCGACAGGAGGCTACTCCAAAAATTCCCAATATGTGCGCACCTACCTTTGACAAATAAGCCTTATGAAGCCAGATCACTTCAGGAAACCTTTCTAAAAGAAAAATCTAATGATTTTGATAAACTAAGGACTCGTAACCCCATAAGATTATTAACATCACAAGAAAAAGAAAAATTACGAAGAGCCCCATTAATATTTCTAAAGGATCGTTTTAAAGGTCCAGCACATACCATTAATCCTAAAACAGGACTACGCCTCGAACAAATTGCTAGAAAAACGGGGAAAATTGCCAGAAAAACAAAAAATCCGGGAACATTTGGGGCGCAGTTCAAAATCATCGAAAACGGCGCAATAATTAATTACTCTCCACACACTGCGTGGATACGGGAAGATGGGAAACAACCTAGGGTAATTAGGCATGACGGTCTTGCATTCATACCAGATCCAAGGGTCTATGGAAAATGTAGACCAGCGGCACTAAAGGACTTTGTCGCGTATAAACACCTACCAAGAGCTAAACCGCGTATTTTAGAGAAAAAGACACCTAGCACAGGGGCACAAGGAGGAACATCAGGAAATTCAGCGAAAAGCCCTAGAAAGCCACCACCAAAATCAACACAGGAGATAATTCAGCAGACATTGAATCGACGAGCCCTAGGTCCACAGAAACTATTGGCTACATTTACACCAACACAGCAAGGGAATGCCCGGGACAGAAGCAAATCGATCACGCAACGCCTCCCGGCAAAGGCAGTACCTCACAGAACAGTTAGCCCGAAGAAGAAAGCAAGAGTCGACCCTGCAACCATCCAATTCGACTGTGATACATCGATTTCACTCTCATCGGATAACGAGCTCGACCATAAATCCCCATCTCCAAGTAAACAACCTGCAGCAAAACGAATTGACTTAAAGGCCACACCAGAAACCAAATCACCGGAAATACGGCGATCAACCAGATCACGAAAAAGCACGCTGGCCGGAAAATTCGGAAATGCCATCCCAATTGGACACATCTCAACAAACACTGAAGCCCCACTCACAGTAGCAACCATCGAACACACAAATACGGAGGATATTACACCGGCGAAACTTAGCACCTCCAATCTGAATGACAAAAATGACGAAAACCAAATCACAAAATACAATGAGGACACGACACACCAAACAGCATCGTTGGCGTCATCAGATGATATAGTGTGTACAGAAGTCCACATGAGTAGCGATACGCCCGAAAACACCCGAAATATGACTAAGACCAATACAATTGCAAGAACCACAAGCTCGCGGTATATTCTAGACAAGCCGCAGATCACTGAAGACTCTTTCAGTAAAGATTTTGAAGAAGCAATGAATTTCTTACAATCGATTAGTCCTATTCGAGGAAATTCAATGACGTTCCAGAGAGAGAAAGAAGACGAAAAACAAACTTCCCCACAACAGAGATCATCTGACATACCTAAAACCGATAAACAACAATCGGCGGAGACGCGAGGACAAGCCACGGATAATTCGCAGGAGGACGATCTAAATCAAGCTTAAATTGAGAACTCAATTTCTTAAAAGGAGGGAAGTGTTATCCATACGGATATCATAGTAAAACATTCCCATACAAACAATGTACAATCAGGTGCTAAAACTACCAGTTGGTAATGTTTACATATTATAAACCTAAATGATTACATAATACATATAGAAGTCTGAGGATTAAATAAGTATCTATCTATACCTAACAACATATGTAATAGTTATTATGAAACGCTGTATCTCAAATGCTTCGAGGTCAGCGTCATCCAGACTTAAACATAGACCGATGAATTTAAGTTACCATCGTAGTCTTTTCTATTTCTCATTTCATAGTCAGCGATTAGCATAGACTTGACAACTTAATTATACCTCACCTAACGGCTGAGGGTATAACAGACCAGATCAATAATAAGTAACTTGTTGATCAAAAATAGTTCAAGAAAGATTTCAATAAGTGCGCATATTTCTTTCGTAATAATGAGTCAAGCTGTATTGGTGTCTTACTTGTGCAATTCCGATAGCTACATAAACACTTGCTCCCACGGCAAACCTCAACCAGGTGTTGTAGGGAGAATTCACATAGTTCTCATCTGGAAACAGGTCATTACTCGGATCTGCCCTCGCGAACTCCTTGAAGTTCAGACCCTCCAAGAAAAATATAACAGCCACAATTTGGAACAAAACATTCGTCTTCCGGATAGTCTGGATTTCATTCCACTCGTTGGCAACGAAGTATGTACGCCAGATGCTAACTGTAGATGCCTCCGATCCCTTCTTGGTGTCGCTGGGCGACTTGGTCGATTTTGGTCTCTCCCAGTCGATGAAGAAAATGTCCACGTTGCACTGTGAGTAGATTAAGTGTAGGACTTCGATACACTAAAAAAACCAGACGTTAAGATAATATTGAAGCACTTGGTTAAAAAAATTCTACTCTTTTGCCCAACTGTCCTTAATGATCTTTGCTTGATAAAACTCTTCAAACATTTGAGTGTCAACGAGTCGAAAATTTAATTTAGAACACCATATTAACAATTAATAGACAGCGTTTAACTGTAATTTAGCAAAAAAGGGCGAGGGATGAGTAAAAAAAATGGGTTGACTCACACTAATGAAGAATAAACAGAGCTACCTTAGCGAGGAATCCGGTCCAGAAATAACCAATGAAGGGTCTGATATCTCCTCTGTCATTGGCCGCGGGCAGAAGAATATACAGTACATCTTGATTCTGAAATAGTTCATTATTATCAAAAACTGATTTTAACCTAAGTGTTCGGAACTTGTAGTATAACACCAACACACCCTCCAGCTGATTAGCATGTACAGTCCAGTGAAGAACAGGACGAGGAAAAATGCGTTGGCAGTTGCTCCAAACCAGGAGAACATGAATTTCAGAAGCGCCTAAAACGGAAATCAATTGTTGCCCAAGTTTGTAACGCTAATCTATGCTCATAGACTTTAAGAAAGAGGTTGCTGTCTGTCTCGTTTGATCTTTCTAGAGCTAAGATTCTCAACGATTATGCTACGCTCACAGATAAAAACGAAAAATATCAGACCAACAAATAATTAGCAATTTCTGGAAACTTATTAGTCCTCTATTTGGTATGTTCTACGAACCAAAATTAATCTTGTACACCATATGAACCTAACTTCAGAATAGATCAGACCTTTCTCAATCAGGTCAAATTCTTTGCACATTTCTGAAAATCTAAGTCATTAACGTTTATAGCTGTTTAATGAAATGGTGAGGAAAAAATCAAGGATTATTACGTTACCAAAGAAAACTGTTGAAATGGATAGATGAAACAAGAAACATACCAATAAATCAAGAGTAGTAGCTCCCGCTCGCTTTCTCCATCCGTTGATTTTAACGACGCTGTAGACCATGACGAACACGCCGATTACACCTATCGCTATCTTAACAAATATTCAGTTTAATGTTAAAAACATTTAAGGCGAACTTTCAATTAAATTTTCCGATTGGAAAAATTTGCACAGAGTATTAGCGAAGACAGCGTAAACTTTATGGCTTCTATGCATGAATACCTTGGTTTTCATGCTTTGAATACCTTGGTTGTCATAAATACCTTGGTTAAAGAATTAAAAGAATGAAACTAACTCCGATGTTTTGGTTGAAATCGCCATACTTCTGGTCATACTCCACCGAAAACTCAGTCTGAAACAAATCAATTATCAATCTGAATCACAGGGTCATACACAGAGATGAAGCTGCACTAGGTGGTTAAAATTTTTGACAACTCATGAAAAACCGCATATATTGGAAACCAGATCTGTAGGCTTTTAGTGTACTCAATTACATGGTTGGTAATTTCAAATTTTATAAAAAAAATGTCCAATTCCTATTTTCCGTCATCTCGAAAACGTCAAATCTCGAAAACTAAAAATATTTGAATAGTCATAATTGGAGTCAAGATTTACTACTCCTGCGAGTACCCTGGCAGCACCCAAGTACAGGGTTGGGATATTTTAGTGAATTTTTCTAAACCTTAGTCAACTTAAATTATTGGAAAAATCATTTAAAAAAACCTCATATCTCGATAACTACAAGGATTTGAGCAGTCATATTTGTAGGTATGATTCGCAACCCCTATGAAAACCCATACAGCACCCAACGTCAGGGTTAGGAATTTCAAATTTGAAAGAATTCGAAGTTGAGTTTTCTGAAAAACTTTGAGAAAATCACAAAAACGTCATATTTGGAAAACTACAAAGATTTTACAAAGATAATTGGATGCAAGGTTTGCAACCCGTGAGAGTACTCTGATGGCCCCTAAGTACAGGGTTGGGAATTTCAAATTTTGAAAAAAAAATTCGTTTGCGTTTTCTGAAAAATTTTTAAAAAAATTCACAAAAAGCCTCATATCTCAAAAACTACAAGGAGTTGAGCACTCATATTTAAAGGCAAGATTCGCAACTCCTGAGTGTACCCTGACAGCACCAAACTACAGCGCAAAGAATTTCAAATTTAAAAAAATTATTTAACTTTTTCAAAAAAAATCACAAAACAGGTCATATCTCAAAAACTACAAGAATTTGAGCAGTCACAATTGGAGACAAGTTTCGCAACCCCCTGAGCAAACTCTAATAGCCCCAGCCCCCAACTACAGGGTTGGGAATTTCAAATTTGGAAGAAAAAAATTTCGTTAAGTTTTCTGAAACTTTTTTGAAAAATCATAAAAAAAACGTCATATCTCGAAAACTACAAGGATTTGAGGGATCATATTTGGAGGCAAGATTCACAATCCCTGAGAGTACCCTGACAGCACACAACTACAGAGCAAGGGATAACAAACTTTGACAACAAAAATTAATTCAAGTATTTTGAAAATTTTTCGAAAAAAAAACACAAAAAACGTCATATCTCGAAAACTACATGAGTTTGAGCAGTCATAATTGGAGGCAATGTTCGCACTGCCTGAAAGTACTCTGCTATTCCCCAAGTATAGAGTTGGGAAATGCAAATTTTAAAGAAATATTTCGTTAAGTTTTCTGAAAATTTTTGAAACATCACAAAAACGTCATATCTCGAAAACTACAAGGATTTGAGTAGTCTCATTTGGAGGCAAGATCCGCAATCCTTGAGAGTACTCTGACAGCACCCAACTACAGGGTTGGGAACTTCAAGTTTTGTAATTTGTTTTGTGATTTAAGCTTTCTGAAAATCTTTGAAAAAAAATCGTCGTATCCCGTACACTAAAAAGATTTGAGCATTTTTAATTGGACACCAAATTCACAACCACTTTGTGAACACTGACAGCATCCCACTATTGGGCTTTTTGAAACTCGGTGGAATTACAATTCAACCTGGAAAATCGGAAAATATCTTAACCATTGCAATAGAGAAAAGATGAGAAAAAAGATAAAGAAAAAGTGACAAAGAAAAAGTTGTATTGAAATATAGATATAAAAAGATAGAGAAAGAAAGATAGAAAAAAGATCGAAAAAGGATCAAAAAAACATATAGAGAAAATATAGAAAAAAAGATAGAAAGATGGAAAAAAGAAACCAAATTGAAAATTAAAAAACTAGGAGACGGTAGACAGACATAATCAAATTAATTTAAAAAGCAGGTACACAGATAGACAGACAGTCAGACGTAATTTGGCCTCGAAAAAAATTACCGAAAAATAAATGACCTTGCGGAAAACTAATTGAAAATTTTCTTAAGCATTGCAAAAGATGATATAGCTTAAACTAGAAAAAATTCTTTCGTTAAACATGCAAAATTATTACGCTTAAACATGGGAGATAGATGTCACTAGCAAAATATTTCGTTAGCATTGTATAATTGAACTTTTGCTATGAGTCGGGTTCGAAAACCCTAGAATATGCGCCACGGGTCCATGAAAGTTTTCTGACATAAGCCACCAACAAAACAGACAGATGCTAAAAAATTGCTAATGCTATGCAGCAAAAAGGGGGCCACCAAATAATAATAAAACGTCTGATCAAAGAGGCATTGAACCTCCGACCTGAAGACTAGAAGTCTTACGTCCTTCAATCTGTGCCATCTATGCCATGGTCGTATATTGATAGGCAAACACTTGCAACCAATAAAGCAGAAAACATGCTATGAAATTTCCAATGCTACAAAAAATTATTAGAGTAGAAAAAGTGCCACCAACAGTACTTTTTTGCGATTTCGGTCGGGGAAAAAATAGATTCATACTATTACACTAAGCTCGCTGGTGAATAAGAATTTCCCTTCTTATCTAGTCGTCTCAAATTTGGTTAACTTTATCGAAAAGTGTCGGTCAAGTAAAAAAAAGAAACAAGGAAAGAACAACGCCAACAGATAGTAGGAAAAGATTCAATGAACGCAAGTAAACAGAAAAAATAGACTTGTTTTATTGAACTTTTGAGCTTTGAAAAAAAAGATGGCCTTGAAGCACTTTGAAATTCAAGAACAATTGATTTCTGATAATTTTTGATAAAATTAACCAAAATTTTTATTTCGCCGGGAAATCTGATAATTAAATTCCATTTCGAAAAAACAAGTCAATCAAGTTTTTGCGACCTTTACTTTCGCTGTTGCATAAAAAAGTTTGTCTTCCTTTAAGCATAGCCAATCAAAGGTTGCAAAAGAGTAATGAATGCAAGTAAGCATAAAAAACACACTAGACTTTGCTGAAAAAAATCTCAACTTACGATTTTCAAAAAAAAGATGACCTTCAAGCTCTTTGAATTTCTAGAACGATTTATGACCGGCGCTTTTTGATAACATTAACCCTATTTGAGAAAACTGGATAAACAGGTAAAATTTTTATTTCTCTGGAAATCTAACATTAATAAATTACACTTTCGAAACTTGAAATCGTTCACGTTTTTCCGCGTCATTTCCACGTTCGTATTTGATGAGTGCTATTTACGTCGCTTTCAGCCCATGAAATTCAATTGAACTCAAAAAGTGCATATAGACCTAAGTTCATTCATAAATGCATCAATATGTATGAACGCAAATCTGTAGTTATTAGAGATTTTTTCCTGAAAAAAAAAAAAACAAAAAAAATCAGCAAGACCTATATAGGAGTCTTCACTACGTTCATTACTCTTAACAAACGAAAAGTGAAAAGAAAACAAAAGTCAAACAGCGAAAAAGTTTGAGCCTGAACAATTACAAAACATTTCGAATCATAATACTACACAGAGGCGAAGTTGCACTTCGCATTCTCAGCAAAAATGACCGGTAACGCTACTGGGAAAACTGAATGAGTAAAACTTTGAATCTACAAAAATTCCTAAGTGACGCACGCCAATTATGATGCATTAGCAGTACCAGTCAATTTGAAAACAAATTACCAACTAACCTCCTCAATTTATAGAGCAGTCTATGGAGCAGTAAAAACATTTAAAAATTAAATGTAATAAAAATGAATTTTAATTTGAAATTTTTTGTGAAAATCGTCCTCTCACACCGTTTACGCGTTAACAGCGCAAAATATATCGCGCGTTAATTGTTCTAAATTGGTCAAAATTGGTCAAATTTTTAAACCCCCATGATTTAACGAAAAAATATCACAGGTGAAATATTTTTCCAAATTTAAGCTCAGGACAACAATAACTTTTTAGTGATATAAAAAATTCCGTCAAAGATCTCTAGTTTCAATGTCGAAATTTGTCTGAAGAAAAAAAAACACCCCGAGCACAAGTATTCCGTTACTTTTGTTACAAAAATCGGAACAAAAATAGTGTGTTAGTATCCTTAGCATTGGCTTTACTTATTATCTGGTTAGTGATAAAATGAATACTTTCAAAATGAACACATTTTTATCGCAACAATATTTGTGACTTAGAAAAAAAGATAGTTCATACTATAACACAAGCTTTGCTTGTATAAATAGCGACCACGGTCATCGACACTAAAAATAAGAAATTTAAAAAGCTTTTGTCTTGTGCCGAAATCAATCACCCGACCTGGAGATAAGGCGCGTCACGTCCTCGCATCTGCGCCACGGGATGGAAACTTTACTATACAAGACCGCAATGAAGCAGCTACATTACTGAAGCTATGCATTGAATCAAAAGTGTCACCAAAAGAGCACTTTTACTTGCGAGTAAGGTTGGACGAAAAGTTGTAATATGACACTACGCTCGCTAGCTAACATGTGTAAATACCTGGAATGAAATTAATTTTGTATTAGAATTAAATTAGAAGAGATTATCCCTCTCATCGTGCCATTTAGTTTGAAAAATAGAAAAATTTAGATCAAGTTTTTAAAACGGACACAACTTTTTAGATTTTTTTTTGGAATCCGAACAACGATTGATTTTTTTGGGAGGTGAATCCATGTTTATGTGAGAGAGCTAAAATGGGAGAAAGAGTTGAGTGCACGCTCAATTTTCTTTTTACCTCTACAGTCTTATCATTGTCATAGTCCGACTGGAAAAGAGGCGAATGCGTCACTTTCATTGAGATAGGATTAGTGGACTTGAAACTGGTGCTGTAGTAGATCTCAATCTTAGACACATACGAGCCCAACACAATATTGTCTCCAGTTGCACCTTGACCAGACAAGTTGTCAACGAGGAACAGTCTGCGGTAGTATTCGGCTAAAACTCAACCGCAGTTACATTTAGTCATACAAATTTAAGGGTTGTTAGATTACTTGTTACATTCGAGCGAAGCCAAAAGCAGCCAAGTAAAGAAGCCAAAAGCAGCATGTTAATGCATATGTTTAGTCTACGAGCATGCATGTTTAACAACCTAACGGTCTGGGAGCACACAATTAAATATCAACAGAGGGTAGGAGTATATACAAACATAAGGGCCGATCATCGCCGCCAGGCGCGCCCACCGGCGAACGTAATCCATTTTTATAGTTTTTGGCCATTAAACTATTTGCGTTCAGGTTTCCAGCATTGCTTTTCTCATCCAATTGGATTCATTTGCATTTCGCTGGACCGATCTGCTTTTGGAATTATAGTGCTTATTCCAATTATCCAGAGAAAACGATCAAGTGTAATGTGCGGTCATGGCTGGAGAGGCTCCAGTGCCATCCGCCTCCTTAAGGTGGGATCGGCTACAGCGAAACTGAATGACATCTGTTTTCCTTATGGACGCAAGGCCTACAGTATAAGTAGGACCGGGACCAAAAATTATAACAATATTGAAAACTTGAAAGCAACTTCCCCAATTTTTTATGCGACTTGACAAAAAAATTTCGACAAGTACTGTTTGGAATTTTAACAGAAATAATATAATTTATTTCGCGAAATTCAGAAATGGGTCGTTTATGACTTCTTTAAATCAGTCAAAAATTACGCTATAACTACCCAATCAATTTCAGAAAAAAATTATTATAAATAACCTCTTGTGTAGCCTGACAATTATTATGAACAGTCGTTCAAATTTTGTTCAAGCAAGTATGCTTTTGATGGATAGGCAAAAAGATCATTTTTATTACCAAAAATAATTTTGTTGGTAGATGCTTTGCGCAAACTTACGGAGTTTATACCCTTCCCAAAGCTTGTTTTGCTACATAAGAGGCTCACTTTGATGATTGAGGCTCATTTTGGCGTAAATTTGATTGTTATGCTTTTGTGTGTTTCAAATAGAGGGTCGTAAAAAATATAGCTCAAACTTTGAATGCGTATTTAATGGCGGTGATGGTGTTTCTTGGCGTATTATTTTGAAAATGAAAATCATTCGCGACAAATTTATGAATTATCCTTTTTTTTCGAATTAAAAAAGTTTTTTAGTTGACTCCGTCTGTCTGCTTATTTACAATGCTACCTTTGTGTTGTATGGCAAGTGTTGCGAAGCTCCGCTTCGCCTCTGTGTTTAACTAGCATGTGTTGCCGAGTAGATTTGGATTAGTCATGAAGTCAAGAGGCTAACGGTTGAGCGAATTTGAATCCCGTGATGAGCCAAAAACGACGACACGATTTAAGGATTAAATTTTGGGTCCGAATTTTGCAAAATAAAATGCCCCATATTAATTCTTGTAATCTTAACAAAACAAAAAATGTCCAAAGTTTTTGTCAACCAAATTTCTCAACCATTTTTTGCCCCCAGCTATACCACCTTCTTCCTACCTTGGTCCTTGATTCCATAAGCGAGAAATATATCATCCATTTCGCCGTAGCCGGTGCCACCCTGCGGAGGCAGATGACACTGGAGCCCCTCCTACCGTAAGATTCGACCCACGAATTTCGTGTCAAATGTCGCGGGCATTGCCCACGCTGCCACGACCGCTCAGTTTTGATAGTTTTCTCCGGATAATCTCAGTCAGCCAATAATTTTATGAAAAAATACATGCTGAGAATTTGAAATTACGGCCGACTAATTCGCGTTGATACACAATCCTACCATGTTCTGCCAAGAATTACCTTCAACTTCATCTAAAATGAGACATAAAATAATTCAAACTAACAATGAGACATGAAACACTAAGGTGACAATGATAGCAACCAGTTAAGGGGTAAATAACACAATGTCAAATCGGAGTTTTTTTTTTTTCTAAAATTCATTTTTTTTTTCAAAATTTTTGAGAACACAGAATATCATTATCTTTTTTTTCTTGGAGGAGGATGTGTGAGTGTAATTGCAAACTTCAGAGAATTTTAATCAATTTTAATCTTCTGTCATTTTCCTTACTCCCGCTTTCTATAATCAAGTGTGAAAACCAAACTCCCAACCGTTTTTTTACTCAACAGTTTTTATATGGTCCGAATTTACGACCGAGTTTCTTGTTTAATATTGGCGCCTGATTTAAATAGGAAACAACGCAAAACAACACAACCTACATTTCCACGCAAAAACTGATGATCGGATAAAAACAGTCTAGACACTTTTCCGTTAAATCCCCCACACCCCCTCAATCTAAAGCACATAGGAGTTTTGCGGAAAAAAGCCCATGTATATTCAACAATTGATTTCACACCGACAAACTATACGTACTACGAGTGAACGCTTGCCCTATGAATATCATATGAATGGTGATATTGTTGAAAAACATATCGTTGATAAAAACTTCATTGATGTAGCAAACGTCAGATTTGAACTTGCTTGATTGACCTAATAGTCGATTAGCAACTCAGTAATGGCTAGGTGAAACATATGGCGGGTAATCTAACGTGACGGACACTAACTACAGGATAGTTTGAATTAAATTGATGCAGAACTTTATTGAAACAGTGGAAATCGTAAAAGATATCAGGATATTTGAAGTGCATAACTTTCTTATTTATCAACTCAATTTATGCATAATATTAATCAGACTGATCAGAAATTGCGGAAACCCCCTTAATAATTTTGAGCCCGTCAGCAATAAAATACGTCTTTACTGTCCGCAAAAGTCAAGCCCACCGGTAATTTTCAATCGCCTTCGAATTAAATACTGAAAATTAAAGAGTCTGTCGTTAGCAAACGGAAAATTGAAACTAATATCATATAAGAAACATAAAGCAAAATCTGCTGCACCAGCTCTCGCCAAATCACTGTGCTTACTGTTAATTTGAACATTTTGAGACTAATGATTATTTAGATTTGAAAAAAAAATCATAGCCAACAGACAGTCTTGGAAAAAAGTCATGAACGCAAGGAAACAGGAAAAAAATATTGACTTAAATTTTGAAAAAACTTCAACTTTCGAAGTTCAAAGTAAAAAATATATGGCCTTAAAATTGTAGAACACTTTATGATTGACACTTATTCGATAAAATTGGCCCAATTCGAGAACACTGGATCAATATAAGCAAAACTTCTATACTGTTAGGAATCAGAAACTTAAATTCCACTTTCGAAACTAGAAGTTCATCATGTTTTAAGTGACCTTTACAATTTTTGCCGTTCGAAAGTAGCCTTCCTTTTAACAAAGGAAATAAAATGAACCTTAAAATAAATTTAAATCAAACGGGGAATTGAAAAAAAAAATTACCAAAAAAGGTTTCCGAAGACCTATTTAAGAGTATTCACTACGTTGATGACTCTTAAAAACAATCCCGGAGAAACTTGCTTAGCCTTTTCCACTTGGTTACTTACTCTGCTCTCCGAACTGAATGGGGAAGTTGAAGAGTTTGTCTGTGGCATCATTAGTGGTGGTGAACTTGAGAAACACATCATAGAAAACTGTCTCATACTCATCCACTAACTGTCTCACTCTCAAACTGCACTTGTTGCGAATGTCTTTTCCGAAGCGGAATGCCAACTGCAGAGAGTACTGGTCTCCTTTGCACAGCTGAAAACAAACCACATAACACTGAGATAAGATCAAGGGTGAGGAACACATCAAACTTATCCATAGCCGTCACGCGAAATTGGGCGCAGGCGAACTTGACACCATTTAAGACCGCAATGGTGAATTTGCCTTGGTTAAAAGAAAAGAAATTCTTTTAAGTCCAGCGCAACCAAACGATCAATGCTTGAGCGTCATGGGATTCAATATGGGATGTTTCACGAAAGCACTACTTGTGACGAATTGCCATACCATCAATGACAAATTCTACACATAAAAATCGGTTGCTGTCTTCGAATGGATGCTGGTAGCATTGAAAAAATAATGCAATTATTGTGCTCATTCATAATTCCCGAATTGAATTATAACATTTAAATCATACTGCTCTCTCACCTGGAAAGCGCCAGTTTTCCAAGCTTCTTCAAAGCCCATGAAGTTTCCATCCACGTCATACTTGTAAGCCACCAGTCTCAGCCAATCCGACTAAAAAACATTTACTCCACAACTTAAAAAGTTTTCTTCTTAACTTGGCGAAAGAAAGTTTTCTTCTTAACTTGGCGAATTTACGGTGATAAAAAACCACAATAGTACATTAGCAATCATATTTATTGAACTCACATCTTCAGTACATTATATGCAAATTATATGTAGTTTGCAAGGCTTCTCAAATTACTATTATTGATATCTCGAGGAATTTTTATTGACAGTGCTTCATTATTTCAAAATAGGAGACAACGAATAAGTATCAATTGAGGAGTTTTACCTGAATTTGAGTGAAAGCTCAATGGAAAAAATTTTGCGTATTTAATAAAAGTACTCCCGGATATAAACTTAAATTTAGATCACACTTTTATTTACGTGACCTGTAAACTACGGGTGGTCTCAAGAATCCAAAACTAAGAATCTGAAACATGCATTTCCACATGAGAGCAAGAGATCTGTTCAAAACTCCCATGCGAAAAAAATGGAATGAAAAAGAGAGCGAAGAGAAAACTACTCTCTACTAGTTACTGATAAAACACATTTTCAAAATAAATACAAAAATTCATTTTTTTTTGTATTTAAGTGAAAATCAATGAAATTTCAGCCACTTTTGGAAGGTTTCGATTAAAAATGCGATCTCTCACAAAATTCCTTAATATTGAAGCAATTTAAGTGTTGATCAGCTAAAAATTGAACTTTCTGGGTGGAGAAAGGCTTCAATTTTGCGGGTGAAACGACTAAATATCCAATAGCATGACAAGGGCTATCACCTTGTCGCGATCGCCAAATATGAGCACTCTTTCGACATGCTTGATACCGCTGTCAAAAAGGCGGAAGCTCTCAATCTGCTAGGATTTTTCAAATTGCCAATCAACGATTGGTGAGGTGTAGGGTGTTACTGCTGTTTTCTGTGAGTTTGGAGCGCTGTTCATCGCAGATCGAGAACGTAAAGCTAATTGCGCAGCTTTTACGTTAGCTCTTGACAGGTTGCAAGCAGGTTGAAATTATACTGCTGCTGTTCACCGGCGCCTAATGGATTAAGGTATACGATTTCATTGTTGAAAAATATTCGAGCGTCGGACCGACCAAAGAAGACTCCTTGGCTGTTGGAACCTGATCTAAACTACATTTTATGATTGGATAAATTAGATATTTTACCAATGTAAAGTATTTAATATTAACCAATCATGATCCATCTAACTAACAACCCACTTATTTGTAAGTGCTGAAGTTACTTGTAATTTCAGCACCAGAGAGATTTGAATTTAACTTAGAAATTAGTTGGACTCTCCCGAGCACTTCAGCAGCCGCAATAAACCAGTATACCCTAGATCTATTGAGCCTAGCAGAGACTAGTTAAACAACCTGAGACTAGATAGTATAAGAGTAAGATTAGGATCGGTATTAGACTAAGAAGTTGCACGAATCTATCCGGCCGAAAATAAGATAGCGTGACGAGCAGACGGTGTACCCTATCCGAAATTACTCTATGAGTTATACACTCCAGTCCTAACTCATCTGGTGCGACCATAAGTCTCGAACAAGACCTTAATAGCTTAGAATTAACTAAAATAGATTAGAAATTAGACAAAAACATTTACAAAATGTTATACGACAATAATTTAATCGAAATGTCTCTACGACTCAATAGATCAGAGCCAATATTCCGAACCATAACAGAACTACCCGGAATTGGAAGAAGACCTCGAACCAGAGACGACATACGACAAAGTAGAAACTTGTCATATAGCTATATGATAGTTAGGCAAAAACCAGAACAAACTTTTATATTTAGAATATTACTGGCAATGAATTTAGATTTTCATTTGCAAACATAAAACCTTGAAGTTAATCTTCAAAATCATTTCAGGCGCTAAACAAAATTATTAATATACAATAACGATTGATAAAAAGATCTAAGATCGTTTTCCTAAAACTCTGCAGTAATATACAAAACATGTTTGAAAAATAATTATTGAAAAATAAAAAATAAAAATTAGTAGCATGACAATAAATGGTTAGTAATTATAAATCATCCTGTTGTTCCAGCTCCATCACCTAAAACATAACAGCAATCATAAACCCACTAATATCATCAAAACACTAAATCTTTCCTTTACACACATTTAAAATTTTATTAAAACTTAAATTCACTTAATTTTAAAACCAGATCATCAAGGCTTATCCTTGGATCTTAAATCATTTTCTACTTAATTAAATTTCAAATTTGATCATCAAGGCTTATCCTTGGATCAAACAGAACAACTTTGTTCTCCCCCACCCACTTAATTAGTGTCTAACGACCTCAAACGTCGATTCACTACCCAACCCTTTCTAAAGACCTAAGACTAATAGAAATTTTTAAACAAAACTAATCATTCAAATTAGGATAAACAGTGAAGAACTTCGGTTATTCATCCTTCACTTGACCCCCCCTCTTAACAGACCCAGGATAAATCTTAGACTTAGTAAGTTTAAAATAGTATCTAACGAACTACTCGCGTTCTAATTATACCTGAACCTTGTGGATCGATTTACTATTCTCCAACCCTTGAACACAATCACTACCCCTAAGTAAGATTAAGTAAGTTAACACCTTAACTTATACTAGCCACGAGAAAGTAAAAAATCATTCTTCGGAATCGATATACTTTTCTCTCCAACCCTGAACAAATAGACCCAGGTTAAGCTAACCAAAAAATCGTAAGAACTAACAGTTTAGGAAAATAGAAATCATTTAACAACCTTTTGCATCCGTCATCCTAAACCTTATGTCATTTAAAAACCTAGGAAATAAACAAACAATCGTTTTACACAATTGTGAAATAGATAACAAAAAATACGACCTTGTAATCACACCTCATACACAAACAGTTGGATACATTCGAACAAAACGACAAACACTAAAAAGAAAAATAATAACGAAACAAAGACAAATAACACGAAAAAGATTTTCAAAAAATCGAAACGCATTTTCAGAATCAGAAACCAACAGTTTAGACGAACTTTACAAACTAAAAGAATCAATAGATAAAAATTGCCCACTTCACGATCAATTATATTTTTCTGACTCAGAAACAACTTCAAATTCATCAAAAAGAGGAAAAAGAAGAATAAAAAAGCAGTATAAACACAAACCAGTACATTTATACAATTGGAATCAACCAATTCGACACATTAATAATTACATATTAACAGTCATCGAACGGAAAAATGAGCTCAACGCACACCCCAGGTGACGAAACCCCAGATGATGATGAAATCTTTCCTTTTATAATAGATGCAACCACTGATAGAGGACAGCATATATTTTGCAAAAATTTACTATTAAATTTATTTGAACCCGGAATCAGTCCATGTAAAACAGAGTTCCCAGATGTAAAAATCAAAAGACAAATCATAGACCACTACTTAAAAGATATATGCAACATAACACAACAGTATGGAATCTACTCCATAGAATTCACCTCACCAAACCATAATAATAGAAAATATACAATTCAAACAGACGATCTTGATTTAGAATTTTCAAAAGTTTTTTCAGAATATATAAAAAGCATCCAATATCATAACTCACAAAGAGCAAACTCCATATTCACCAATGAAGTTTTCGCAATAATATATAGTTATATTTCGATATTAGAAAACGAAATCCCAATAACAAATGTCTCACCGACAGAAACATCTAAACATTTAAGAGTACGACATGAAATCACACTACTCTCTAGTTATTTAAACATCATTAAAGAAAATTTCACGAAAGACGACGTTTCACAACATACAAAACACGATCTACAAAAAATTTTGGCATGGTTCATAATAGATTATTTCACACACAATATTGATTTAATTGCACAAGCAAGAAAAAATTTTAGACCCCAAAACTCGAACGATGATACCGCTATCACAGAACAATCAGATTATGTTTGGGACCCCGAATGGTCTCATCCCGCATTTATAAGCTTCCCACAATCAATCTCAAGTCAAGCAATAAGTACGATATCTTACATAAGAGATTATGTAAAAATAATACCATTCACCATTGATGCAACACCATTAAACTATCATACATTTTTGCCCGATACACAAAATAATAGTTTAAACTCTACAGTCATACACAATGAAAACCTCAATGGAACTAGGAATCTTACTCAACAAGATATCCAGACACCATCACACTTCATAAATGAAGAAATTGTACACACAACAACTACACAACAAAGTATTTCACCAATACGCCCAAATTTAACAACACCAAGAAATACAAATCCTTCACAAACACAGGTAACCTTACAATCAACCGTTAAACTTTCGGTTGCCCCTAAATATTCACATATGGATTACCAAACATACAGACCCATGACAATACCATCAAAAACACGCAAAACATTCACTAGAAACAACTTTACAGACCATAATTATAATTATACACATCCATCAAAAACATATAATCAACCACAAAGAAATTTTAACCAATATACAAGATCTCGAAATTGGGATAACCCAATGACCCAACCTAATTCAATAAATTTCCAAACAAATCCTCCACAGGATCACAGTGAAAATTACCCATTTTTTCAACAAAATAAAAATAAAAAACAGACATCTTATCAAATGGATTATTTATCCTCAGATGATGATTTCTTACAACCAGATATATTTGCACCAAATACTCAAGAATATCGTAGACAAGGAATACAGAGAACACGTACAAATCATAGAAATTTTTCTCCACAATCAATAGATGCACAACATCAACAACCAATTCAACAACAAAATCTAATTAATACACAATCTTTTCAACCAATTCAACAACAAAATCCAATGACTGCACACTCGTATCAACCATCACAAATGCAAAATGAAATACCACTCCCATATTATCTCCAACAACATGAAATAACAAGAAACCAACTTTCAAATTTTTCTCAAATGCCAAATGCAGCAGAATCATTACAAATGACAATGAATCCATACCTTATGGGTGGATCATCAATAAC